CGGGGCCGGGGCGGCGGGGGGACGCGGGGCCGGGGCCGCTGGTGACGGCCCGGGCGTCCGCAGGCGAGCTCTCCATGGAGAAGGTGAAGGTGAAGCGGTACGTGTCGGGGAAGCGGCCCGACTATGCGCCCATGGAGTCCTCGGAGGAGGAGGACGAGGAGTTCCAGTTCATCAAGAAGGCGAAGGAGCAGGAGGTGGAGCCCGAGGAGCAGGAGGAGGAGCTCGCCAACGACCCCCGGCTCCGGCGCCTCCAGAACCGCATCGCCGAAGATGTGGAGGAGCGGTGAGTGCTGGGGTCAGCGAGGAGCTGCGCTCCCCTGCAGTTTTGCCCTCGCAGGGGCCTGGGGAGGTTGAACCCCGCTCTGCCACACTGCAGTGAGGGATTGCAGGATCAACGGGCAGAAGCCGGGAATATGTGGGGGAGTCTCTGACTCTTCCCACGTCTGTACTCCCCTGTGCCTCGGGCTCGGGCCCTGCCATGCAAGCAGCCCTTCCAACCAGGAGTTGCCATTTCCCAGCTCACAGCCCCACATCTGGGCGCAGGTGAAAACAGGCTCCAAAATAAAAATAAACACAGTGTGGTAAGGCTGAGGGTATTGGGAAGGGACGGTGTCACATGAAGTATGCTCCAGGCAGGGAGTAATCGAGTGCCGTTTGCCTCCTCCTGTTGAGCTGCTGCTGCTTTCGGCTCCAGTAACGGGGAGCCCCGTTCCTACTTGGAGCGTGGACAGGGAGGAGCTTCTGGTGCCTGGCCACTGTAGCCTCCTGGGAAAGAACGTGTGGGGTCTGCCCACACTCTGCAGTCCCAGCATTTACCACAGCCTTGTTAGGAACGATTCGTGAATAGTTAACTTCTTGCAGCCTCTTTATATTTGAAGTGCTGTCATATAATTGGAGTCTGTTGCAGGCTGGCAAGACACCGTAAAATCGTGGAGCCTGAAGTGGTTGGAGAAAGCGATTCAGAGGTGGAGGGGGAAGCCTGGCGCCTGGAGCGGGAGGACACCAGCGAAGAGGAAGAGGAAGAGATCGATGATGAGGTGTGCTTGCAGAGCCAAATAACGAGCCTACAGAAGCCCCTGAATGGCACAGGCTGGAGCTGCCCTTTGCACCGATGTGTGGGCTGTCTGGTGGAGCTGGACAAGAGTCACAGCTGGCTGTGACTTGGCTTGTGGGTCACCATCCCCTTGTGCAGGACGGGACGCCAGGAGAGGTCACCCTGCTTCCAGAGGGACAGGCGTATTGTCTCATAACGAACATTCCAGACATCGCACATTCTGGACAGAAGATGAGCGGGAAGCGGTAGGGGGGCTGGTCGTCTGACTCCTCTGTGTTTGCCTCTGTTAGGAGATCGAGCGTCGGCGTGGAATGATGCGTCAGCGAGCGCAGGAGAGGAAAACTGAGGAGATGGAAGTGATGGAGTTGGAAGATGAAGGTCGATCAGGGGAAGAGTCTGAGTCAGAGTCTGAGTATGAGGAGTACACGGACAGTGAGGATGAAATGGAACCGCGTCTCAAACCTGTCTTCATCCGCAAGTGGGTGACATGGCTGCATGGGTCAGCCCTGGGCGAGGACACGGGAGTCGGGGGCCGAGCAGACACCGCCGCTGGGGTCTCCTCTTCCTTGCCGTAGGGTGGCAGTTCACCTCCCCGGGGGGGAGCGAGGGGCAATCCCTGCACTGGCAGCCCCTTGTCGGCTGCATCGGGCACTGTGGGATCAGGCTGTGGGTTGGAGTCACAGCAGGGTCTGACCACAGCCCTCGGGCAAGTGCCGTACGGTGGCAAAGGGAAGCCGTCAGCAGGCCGTGCCCCGCCGCTGGTGGCTTGGTCTCCTGTTGCTCACCTACGCAGCTGCAGCTGTAGGGGAATGGCACGGTAGCCCCAGCACGGGCAATGCTGGAAAGGGGAAAGCCCTGGGGCTCGTCCCGTCCTTGGGGAGAGGGAAGACTGGAAGTGGCTGCAGTGCAGGAGGGGGGAGATGTCTGTGAGGAGCCAAGTGGATGTGCTGGCTTACGGAAAGGCTGAAGGCTATTGTGGTCCCTGCCCGCAGGAAGGACCGGATCACAGTTCAGGAGCGAGAAGCAGAAGCCTTGAAGCAGAAGGAGCTGGAGCAGGAGGCAAAGAGGCTGGCGGAGGAGAGGCGCAAGTACACACTCAAGGTGCTGAGGGGCGGGCTGAGGGTCGCACGGGGGGGCGGCAGGCATTGCAGCAAGCTTAGCCTGCTCCTTGCTGCAGATCGTCGAAGAGGAAGCAAAGAAGGAGCTGGAGGAGAACAAGCGCTCGCTGGCAGCACTGGATGCACTTGATACAGATGATGAGAACGATGAGGAGGAGTATGAGGCCTGGAAAGTGCGTGAGCTGAAGCGTATCAAACGGGACCGTGAAGAACGAGAAGCGTAAGTATCATCTGCATAGACACGAGGCTGAGAGCCTGCAGGCCCGTGGGCAGTTGAGGCGGCTTTTCCTCAGGGTTCCCTTTGGCAGCATGGTCTTAGCCAGACCAAGCACCCAAAGCCCCTCCCACCCGCCCTCGGGTGCCTTTGCTCCCCTACAGTCACTAAACGTACGGGGTGGCAGCTGGCAACAGCAGCTGTCCTGGGAGGGTGCTGTGGGGTCTCAGGGGTTTCTCTCCTGACCAGCATGGAGAAGGAGAAGGCGGAGATCGAGCGCATGCGGAACCTGACGGAGGAGGAGCGCCGGGCTGAGCTTCGGGCCAACGGCAAGGTCATCACCAACAAGGCGGTGAAGGGCAAATACAAGTTCCTGCAGAAGTACTACCACCGCGGTGCCTTCTTCATGGTGAG